CAACGTCATCGGGGAGCTTGGAGACGTCGTCAGCCATGAACACGCCAGGAGCGACATGAATCACGACATCAGAGCCGTTGGCGGCCTTGAACGTGATGGCGCTGTACTCCTCGAAAGGAGCAGGAACCTCAGCAAGGGTCTGCTCCAGTACAATGTGCTCGGATGCAATATGCTCGGGGACGGCGCGCGCGAGGACCACCGCCGCAAAGGCAAGGACTGGCGCAAGAATTATTCGCATCGTGGGACTAGGGAGGTAAGACGGTGTCTCTGGTCTTGAGGCTGTACTTTGGCTTCGCGGAAGGAGATTGACAGGAAGCCAAGTCGCGAAGTGATTAATGATTGGGATTCAAGGAAAGGAGAGAAGAAGAGAGCCAGATGAGGGGTCGATGATGGAGGAAGAGTGAGGAAGTGAGGAAAGAACTTCTCCAAGGAGGCACTGACGGTGAAGTGCTCCTTTGTTCAGGTTTGTGGGGAAAAGGAAAATAAAATCAGGGCTGGGTGATGGGAGGCTGAGGAAAGATACTCGCGTAGCTAGGCGGCGAAGAGGGAGATCACGGGACTTTTTTGCTCCTATTTCCTTTATTGTCGATTAAGGCGGTGAGAGAGCGGTTACCGTAAAGATTTTCAGATGAATATACGTCTGAATCAAAAAGAGAAGGAGCTCTCACCCAAGGAGCTAGGTGAGTAGTGCCTTTCTGAAGTTGCTATTGCGGCTCACCTAGGTAGCTTAATGAGCAGTTGTAGGTGAAGCAAGGTGTATAGCGGCAAGATCACTGGGTAAAAGTTACTACTCACTCTTTGGGAAAACACTTCACGCTTGATATGCCGCGTACGAGATTTGAACTTAAAAGCTGGAATGCAAACACACGAATTTTACGTAGAGCCACTTTCGAGTTTGATTTACCCATCCGAGTAAACTTTGCCTCGAGAAGCCTGATAAGGACCATATGACGGCAGTAGAGCATGGTATGTATGTGTCGGGCTTGCAGTTGAGGCGGGAGTAAGGAAACTCCTGAGCGGTGACCATCCCTTGCAGGCACTGAGCGACGGCTTGGTCACACACGCTAGAGTACCTTTGGGTTGACTACTTTGCAGTTTTTATTGTTGATGCATTGGAATGGGTGACTTCTTCACTACCAGAGAGCTGCAGTAAAATTAGCTTTGAGAACAATGACCCTACCCGTAATGTCTTTCTTGCTTGAACAGCGGTTTGGTCGTACAAGCTGAATTATCATTCATGCAAGGGCGAGTAGCAAACCCCTCCGACGTTTACAAACTCATTGAATGCAATTTCCAAATTGCGGGGTGATATTGTTGCTGCAATGTTTTGTTTGGTCTTATTTATCTGAGTTTGGTAAGGAAATTATGATTGCTCATCGTAAGATCGGGAGTGTTTATTAGAGTTGACAAGAATCAAAGCTTCAACGCTGTCCAAGCACGTAAACTCTAGTTGCAGAGCCGCTAAGCTGACAGAAACAACTTTATGCCAACCTTCCTTCTTCGTCATTTAGTACATTGCAATCCTATTCTCTCATGGTGTCCCAAATCAGATAGGAGAAGATACCGCGCAAAGGACAGACCATTCCAGGGATATTGAAACGCACGACGTGGCAGTTTACCAGCAGTTCGCAAGTCCCGATTCAGTGAGGATTGATAACCAGCTTCTCTAAGTTGTTCTAGGATCGCCTCACGCTCGCCCTCACTGCTGATCGCCTTTTCAATTCTCGTATAACATCAAAATTCACAGTCTGGGAATGACGTATTCCCAAGTTCACTCTGTTAAACATTTGCGGACGAGCACGCCTGTCTTGAGTAATGCAAGCGTGCCTTGGGGTATGATAGTAAAGTGCTCCTGGCATCAGGCATGAAAAGGTGTTGATGTAAACAAATCAGGGAAGGAGTAGACATAAAATTAAGGAAAGAACTTCTCTTTTAAGTTCTCCAAGAACAACCAAACTACCGGCTAGGTGAGGTAAGTGAAATGATACGTTCCCGGTTGTCTGCTCTACAATCAATACTTAGGCTTCTCCATAGATAGGAAACACGCTTAAGACAGACGTGATCGCATGCGTTGCTGAATTTACTACGAGCTGTTCGATTTCGAGACCGGATGCAGTCTACATATGCTCACGATGGGCCACTTCTCCTCCCCATGTGCACCAGCAATTCTCAGGCTGGAGTATGTCCAAATTACCCCTCAAGGATATTGATCCAAAAGACCATGGTCATCAATATGACCAACAATTGAGACCCTATTGCAGAATTTTCGACTTTTTTGTCAAATGCTTTGTGTAGATGCGGCTAATACGTAGTGCGCGTTTAGCTGCCGCTGGCTTCTTGGACCTTTCCTCATAGGAGCCCAGCAACACAAAGGCTCAACTAGAGTCTAGCAGTGGGATGCCTCAAGCACACATGATAGCTGTCATTGGAATTGAGAGTCTTAGTCAATCGTTCCAGATCGGGTTATTCCAAGCAAAGCACCTGCACCCCAAAAAAGAAAAATCGGCTATCTATCCGGAAGAAGCACACCTTGGCTCCCATTGAGCCACACCGTAGCTCATGTTCCCGCGGTATGTTTGTCAATGTACGTCTGTCATGCATGTCAAACCTCTGAGTAAATTGGTTCGATATCGTTGGTAATGAAGCGGATCGCCGGAACCGGAACCTTGGACCGGGGGGCTGGGAATGTTTCCCGTCCGTTATCAAACGAGTCCGAGGAACCCCCCGCCAGCCGACGAGTCATTTTTACGCCTTTGGGCCCCGTCGGGCCCCGCAGAAACATGCCAACCCCATAGAATGATCCGGGGCCGCCATGCAATGCTGCAATAAACCGCAGCAATAAGCATGAACTAGCCAATTCCCCGGGTTGGAGTCTGTTGCTATGCCGTAATCTTATTCTGCCCAGACCAGTTGATCCCCTCCAGCTATCAAGATAAGTATCAGATAAGACCTTTCGTCGTCCATTCACATCTCGTTACAGGCTGACAAACATTGAATACGGGGGAGACTCAAGAGCCCACTCACCGAAGCGGCCCAAGATGGAGACCATCCCGGGACTTAACCACTAGGTTGGTATGGCTCTGCCGACGACGGCACTGGTCACTATTTTGCCGAGCTGATAAGAGGAAACCCGAGAGCACGGAACCAGCGTTCGCCTGCCTTAGCCTCGAGCGCATTCGGAGCCCAAACCCACGTGTGATGGGACCTAAGCCGTCGAGATAAGGTCGATGATGATTCTCTGGGCAGAGTATTGGTCAATTGGAGCATCTTCCATGGTTTCTAGCGTTGACATGGAAGGGCCGGGCGAGTTATTTTTTCCCACAAGCCGGATGTTGACACCGGAACCCATGGGAATTCGAATTATTTCTTATCGCCTTGGCTACAGTCAAGTATGTTCGCGACAAGTCGTATCCAGCAATCGCTATATAAGACAAAGTAAATATGCCGCCAAGTTTCGTTCAGCCAGCAGAGCAGTTTAGAGCATCTCCCTCTCTTCATAGCCCCCATTGTCCTCTGGAAATTCACCTGTAACTTCGGTGACGTTTTCTAAGCACGACAAACAGCCAAGATGCAGACTCGCAACCTCCTCCTCGCGGCCTCCCAGCTGGCTCTCGGCCTCGCGGCCCCGGCCCCGCTTCCGGCATACAATCTCCTCTCTACCCGCGAGACGCACTACAACGCCAGCCTGCCCAACATCACAATCTTCGCCACGGGCGGCACCATTGCCGGTTCAGCTTCCTCAAACGCCCAGACCACAGGCTACCAAGCCGGTGCCCTCGGTGTCGACATCCTCATCGCCGCCGTCCCAGAGTTGTGGAATGTCTCCAACGTCAAGGGCGTGCAGGTCGCCAACGTAGACTCGGGCAGCATCACCCCCGGCATCCTCCTCAATCTCACCCGCCTCGTGCAAGAGGCTCTCGATGACCCCTACTGCCAGGGCGCCGTCATCACCCACGGTACCGACACAATGGAGGAGTCTGCCTTCTTCCTCGACGCCACCATCAAGAGCGAGAAGCCCGTCGTCGTGGTGGGCGCAATGAGACCCGCCACGGCCATCAGCGCCGACGGCCCCATCAACCTCCTCGAGGCCGTCACCCTCGCCGGCAGCCCCGCCGCCGCGGGCCGCGGCACCATGATCGTCCTCAACGACCGCATCGGCAGCGCCTACTACACCACAAAGACTCACTCCAACTCCCTCGACACCTTCAAGGCCGTCGAGCAGGGCTACCTCGGTTTCTTCCTCGATATCAAGCCCGTCTTCTACTACCCACCCGTCCTGCCCCTCGGCCGCGCCTACTTCAACGTCACCGAGGCCTCTGAGTTGCCCGAGGTTGACATCCTCTTCGGCCACCAGGCTCTCAACCCTGCCCTCGCCACCGCCGCCGTGGCCAGCGGCGCCAAGGGTCTTGTTCTTGCCGGTATGGGTGCTGGTGGATGGACTACGCCTGGCCGCAACGCGCTCAAGACCCTGGCGCAGGAGAACGGCACGCAGATTGTTGTGTCTAGCAGAACCATGGGTGGATTCGTCGAGGACGACGATGCCCTGAACACGTACGGTGGCTGGAACTTGAACCCCCAGAAGTCGCGCATCCTGTTGCAGCTTGCGCTGTACTCTGGCTATAGCTCCGCGCAGCTCGAGACGCTGTTCAAGTTCGCCCCTTAGATGGGATGAGACATAATGACATTAAATTATGAGATTATGAGTACATAGATACAATAATAGATAAATAGTAATTTTTATCATCAAAATTGAGCAGTCCCTGCAATGTCTCAACTTTTATCTCGCCTTGCCAAATGTACGGAGAAAAGGTGTTACGTTTACTCCAGGTAGCTCTGCGACGCCAGCAACCTTGATCGCCTTCTTTATTCTGATTCCGGAGATCTTGACGAGGTCTTGAATCGATCAACATCAAGTCTGGTCAAAGACGAGAGTACTCCATGTAATCTCAGCTCGCAGTGCCGTCGCACCGATGCCAAGACAGTATCTGCCCGAACAAGGCCTACATGTCCTTCTTTACAGAGCTCTTTTCTAACTCAGCAACCTTGACAAAGACTCGCTTTGTCTCCGCACAGCTTTTGACAATGAGATAGATGGGTATGATAATCCAAAAGGCGTTGAAGAAGACGTAGTAACACCAAAAGTAAAAGTCTTCGGGCCGGCAATAAATCATCTTCGCGACGAGCTTGTCAAACGAGCACGTCGCAAAGTACAAGACGTCGCCGTAGAGCTGCCCAAGACTAATAATGATCTGCAGCGGGTGGCGGAGGGGGTGGCCGGTGACGATGAAGTATGCGCACGCGAAGGACAGAGGACCCCAGCAGAAGGCGGTGATGGTCTCCATGCAGACGATGAAGGAGTCCTGGGTCAGGTAGCGGGAGTCTGAGAGGGAGTATTCTTTCCAGAGCTGGCCGAAGATGTGGAGGGAGGCCGGCATGCTGGATTGATTGTATGAGAAATAGCCTGCTCGGGTGTTAGTCAATATGATCCTCACCCTTGTCCAAGGTAGATGAAGGCTAGGTGGCCGAGCACGGATGACTGACCTTCGAAGAAGAGATGGATAAAGGCGCTGAGGGTGAACCACAGTGCCGTGGCGACCTCGCCATTAGGGAGGTTTGGGCTCGTTCTTCTGATGATGCGGTATGTCGGTACGAGTATGGCGGTTGCCCCTGCGGCAAACATCCCACGCAGCGCATGCGCGCTAAACGTGTTGGCAACGTAGCCTGGGAGTACAGCCTCTGCAGGGAAATATGGGTGCGCCGGAATAGTGGCGTTCATGACGATTTCTGCAGTCATGTTGGAATCTTCCTATTTTGTTCTTTAGCTCTAGATACTGTTTTCTAGCGGAATCACTTACAGCGAAGGGAAGTTCGTGAGTTTTATGGACGTCAAACTGAAGGATTCAATTCCCACGCTTCGTGATCCACTCTGCCACAGCCGGGAGGACTGCCATCCGCGTCATGCGATTTTCAGCTCTTGTTCGCACAGAGGCATCTGCCAAGTGCTAAGCAAACTAACATTCTATTGGCTACAGGGTCAGCATAAGCAGCCAAGCGAGATTGCACCCGCGTCGTATTCGGGTTCAAGCAGTTCTGTCTGACATAACCACGGCCGAGAGAATAGTGAAGAGGACTTTAGTGCTATTCTCCGGGTCCGCCAGGTGCAGAAGCCCGATCCGGGATCCACACCTGGAGCCCGAGTCTGCCGGCGCCCGAAGGTCCACCGGGCTGTTCCACCGAGTGAAACATGACATGGAAGAGGATGCATCACAAGATTTTGGGTACTGAAGTTCTAACATCATAGTCTAGATATCTATCTACCGACGATGATTACTTTTGAGTTGGGTATCTTATTACAATCTTTACATCTCGTCACCCCGTCTAGCGTCAAGCCTCCACGCCCTTTCCATGGCTAAGACCTTTTAAACGTCACCCTTCTTTTCCCCCTTCTTCTTACGGATATCGACCCAGCCCATACCCCATGAAAGAACAAACGCGAGACCACCAATTCCGACCATGAGGTAAAACACCTCACCGATACTCTTCGAATATGCCACCAACACCCCAGGCAAATCGCCTTCCGGTACAACAATCCTGAAGCCTGTGCCGCCCGCAGCCAGTACTGTCTTGACATTTACTGCCGGAGCGTACTTTGCCAAGTTTTTACCTAGACCTTCGCTGAAGATGACTTCGCCTGCTGTCAGGAAAATGGCACCGCCAAATGTCTGCAGGAAGACGAGCATGGCCATCGATACGGATAGGGTCGCGGGTGGAATGTTGGCTTGCACGGCGATGATGTGCTGGAGAATCGTACATGTTAGCTTAGCCTTTGTCACTCATATGGCAGCATATCTCACCATTTGCATACAGGCACCGCGGCCAGCGCCGAGAAGGACTTGATACCCAATCCACTTGGCAGAATCTGTAGACGGGTCCCAAGTCGAGATGAGGCCGTTACCGATCGCCGATAAGACTGAACCAAACACGGCCCAGGGGAGGTAGTATCCCAACCTGCCGACTGTAAAGGATTAGCACTTCCACATTGCCATAGTCGCGTTTCAAGGAAGCAATGGCCGTCGGCTTACCCAAAGCCCCAGATGCCACAGCAAAGACCAACTGGGCAATGATAGTCGGCAAAAAGTGAACACCACCCCGGAATGGCGTCTCACCCTTGACACTCTGAAAGTACATTGGGATGTAGTAGCTCGAGACCTGTGTAATGCTCATGTTCAAGGCTCCCACGAGACTGCTTGTTAAGACGATCCTGTTCTTGAACAACCCCAATGGGATCATGGCTTTCTCATCGCCCTCCCTGTGCTCCCAGTAGATGAACAGCCCTGCGGTCACGGCGGCGCCGTTGAACAAGCCGATAACTACCGATGAGTCCCAGCTATAGTCATTGCCGCCGAATTGTAATGCGAGAAGGAACATGATCGCCGCGGGAGCAAAGAGGGTGAAACCGGGAAGGTCGAGGTATCGGGGGATCTGGAGGAAGGAGACGGGCTTGGTGATCTTTGACGGGATGTGGATTAAGAAGAGCATAGCTGCAGTAAGTGCACCAATCGGAAGGTTGATGTAGAAGCCTGTGCCTTAAGTCAGTGTTCTTCCCATTCGCAAATTGTAGTCCAACTACCGGGAAAGGTAGTTAAGCTGAGAAAGGAGTAAACTTACACCAGCGCCAGGTCGTATACTGGGTCAAGGCTCCTCCCACGAGGGGTCCAGCGACAATGCCAATGTTCGAAATACCAATCATGATCCCAATTATCAACGGTCTCTTTTCCAACGGGACGGTTGCGCCGATGATGGTCAACGCGCCATTGAAAAGTCCGCCAGATCCCATACCTGAGACGGCCCGTCCAATGATGAACAATGTTGACGAATTAGAGAGGGCGCAAATGAGAGATCCGGCCTCGAACACGAAGAGGAAGGCAAGGAATATTTCTTTCGAGTGACGGTGCGTGTAGAGCTTGCCGGCCAAGGGCTGCAGTGCGGCGCTGATTTGAGATACAGATCAGCTAGGATTCGTCGAAGAGCACTTGGCTCGAAAGCTGTCCCTTGCGAGAGACATAGAGTTGACATACCCACAGAGACTATACGCTGCACCATACCATCCAACGTCAGAGAGGGAGTTGAACGCCGTTGTGATCTCCGGAACGGCCTAGACCCAGTGTCAGATTTGTCATGAGCACCTTGCCACATCCATCACTTGACAACCGTACCGTAGTGATGATAGACATGTCCAGCATCATGAGAAATACAGTGAGTGTTAGTGCTGCCAGAACAAGCATGAGCTTGAGGCCCCCGATGTACTCCTCCTCGGCTTCCTCTTGCTCCGCCGCCGTGCTTCCCTCATCTTCGGCGCCGGCTTCCTCCTTATCGGTCTTCTCGACGTCCGAATCACTTGATGGTTGCAGAGGCTTTTCCGACATGTTGAGAATGATAGGAGTGGCCGATGGTTGTGTCATGGCCGACGCCGGTGATGTGAAGCGGGTCTCGTTGAGCTCTCTGGAGCTTTGTGAAGTAGGCTGGTCCATGTTCAAGATCTGGAGAAGATCTGGTGTAAATGTCTGGGCATCAACAAAATAGTATGGATGAACCTTGGCACATCTTATGTAGCAGGTAAAATCAACCCCGACAACATGAAGACACGCTGATGCGCGTGCATGTAAGAAACTCAAAGCCCGCATCTGAACTCCGTCTCGTAACTCCCTACATTCATCCTTAACCCCGTCGAGTCAATAATAAGCAAACACCAGCCGGCATTTTCTGGTACTAACCCGCTCTCGGGTGTCCAGACTCGCTTAACCCGGGTCACGGTGTAAGGCTGACAATAACGCAATCGCTGCACATCCGGGGTTCACACTAACCCCGAGGGCACTTTCGTAATACCTAACCCTTCACACCACATCAAATTTCCGTTCACACGCCAACGATTGGTCCCAACAGAGTGGAATATACGGCTCGGGCATGCTTGCCCCGTTCTCTACTAATCTATCTGATCATTCAGCTTACTTCAAAATGCTTACCTAGTGCGCTGGCTGTTTTGTTAGCCGTTTGTTGGTTTTTAACACGGGAGGATCCGACTAGCTGCATACTGATTGCGATTGATTACGACTCAAAACCCCCAGCCGGGATTTGGTGCCACGAGGATCTTGAAATCCGTCCGGTCAGCCATCCCGTTTCGATTTACGGCCGCTGCAGCAATAGTCCGAGCCCACTCCGCCTGGCAGTTGGTGTTTTCAAGCAAACGATCCGGATCCGGGCTTGACCGGTGCAGGTAGCCAGAACTCGTAGACTTTGCTGAATGGTGAGGTCTCAGTTGGTCCGATGATCAAACCGACATATCGGCATATACCTATAGGCTGAACTCAAATGCTCATTTGTAAGCCGCATTGACTCCTTGATCCGGTCCCAACGGCCGCGCGTATTTTCATTGGGAACCCGACAAACACAATACGTTTATATCGTCAACATCACTTCCATGAACAGATTTCAGGAATTCAACGTCCGTCATAGCCTCCTTAGGTAAGACACAAAGTATCACTGCATAAATACGATATGTGACCGGTGAATATTTCTGCACTAGTCTAGTGACTTGTCACTGCATGTGATTTTCGTTGCCAACAATCCGTCGCTTGTACACTAAACGCAGCAAGGAGATCAGGTGAAATAGAGCCGAAAATCGTTTCTTTCCCTAAGATACCTAACTAACTGGATTGTGAAGGTCAAGGATCCACTTGATGAAGATTTCGACTAGCAATAACCATTCAACCCAATCGCGGATTGTTACTTTACGATACCATAACTCCTAAGTTCCGGTACATTATAACACCAACTCTTTTCAAAAAAAAAAAAATGAATTTTCTCTGCGTGGGCCCTTCGAGTTGGGGCACGTTACGTCTTCGCACCATTCAATGTGCCTGGTTGCCTCATCTCTTCGATATTTCGTAGAGTCTATGCTTTGTTGCCAATGAAGCACCGTATCCCAGTCATCGACATCCTCCACTCTGATTGTCTTCTGGCCCTCTAGAGTAACTCGGGACTCTTCCAATCTCCAAATGTATTCAAAGCCACAGTTTTCACAGCAGACTACGGGCGTGGAACCTCGGGGCAGGCCGGCATGTATGCCGTGTGCCATAAACCTCCCTGTGAGATTAGGACGGGTTGTCGCATAGCATGCGCAACATCCCCTGTCAGCTCTCGCGGTGGGATGCTGATTACATTGCCGTTGGGTATTATACACACCTGTTTCCCTGAAGCACACGCAGAGGTGCCAACTGAACGGTGCCATGAATGCTGTATCTGTGAACATCCGATGAGGGCAGCAGAATTCGCCAAAGTTTTCTTGCAATCGACTCAGAGCATGACGGAGACGCTCTTTCGTCACAACTTCTTCTTCCTTCAAGTTCAAGACTACAAGCTCCCAGCCCAACGTAAAATTCAAGAAACAGTCCCTGGTGACGTTTTGTCGTTGAGGCCATTTTTCTGGTACATAGATCATTGCGGGGGCCTTCTTATGCTTTCCAACTCTTTTCACGCATACTGGGCAATCTAAGAATGGTGTTCGCTGAAATATTGCTTTGATTGTTTTCCATTCTGGGTCTCTTGGATTGTAGGTCGCCAAATGTGCCAAGACTTCTTTCCAGGAGATCTGAACGTGCGAACATAATTTCAAATTGCCTTGGTGACTGATGCAGATGCGGTAATCGATATCAGCATGAAGTCGATCACTAGAGAAATAGGCCCAGTGTTGCCTCCCGCAACCGTTGCAAAACCGTAGTAGTAGCGCATGCTCTGATATATGGTATGCGCGCCCTAACGCATTATCAAGTTCTTCCATCGAGCATGAGCGGCGGTGGGAGTCCTATCTGGCCCCATATGAAAGTTTTTGGTGATGTTGTCTGAAATCATAAGCCGCGCCTCCAACAACAGGCCGGCCGCGATTTTCGCTGCACGTCTGACACAGAAGCTCGGTTCGGCGCAACTCTTTGATTTTGACTAGCTCGTAGAAGGGAAGCTGGAACAATACTGGCGGCGAGAAGCGAGGTGGGATATTCGGAGCACCCAAGACTGCTTGCATCGATTGTTGAAGCTGTTGAATGGTCCCAAAATCTTCCACCGATGTCAGTTGTAAGAAAACCCGCGATGCATGGCGAAGTCGACAGATGTCTATGGGCTTGAGGTGGTGGATTTTCTCGAGTACAACTTCGCAAGGGATCTTGTACAAAAAGCTTTGCTCCTCGTTTCGTTGTTGTCTAATTTCCCAACCTGAACGATCACGATAGCCAGTGTAAAAACCTGAAGAGCCATAATGGGCGATCGTCTCGGGACTTTGGAATGTGATGATTCTTTCGTCGATGATGTTGTGACGTCCGGTGATCTCCATTGAGTCTATGTCGATTACGGTGGGCTACTTGTCATCCAGTCCTGATGCCATGACGTCTATATATGTTGGGTAGGATATGTTTGTCGTCACGTCAAAACCTGCTTGGTGTAGTAAAGACTCTGCTCATTGTGTATTGATGTTTAAGAAAGAATAAGACGTTACATGGCTGGTGGTCACTTAAGCCCTTCATGTTCTTTATGGAAGACACGACCAGTAAATCTCCGATATAGATTTGAATGAGACATACTGCCGCACGGCAAAAGTCATATTCCTCACCAATCTCCATTAACAAAGAATCTGTAGTTACCCAACCTGAGGGTCTTGTGTGCCACAGAGAATGGTTTCGCGTCGCTATCGAGGTATTACCACCAGTCAGTAACCGTCAAGCTCCTAAAGTGCTTGCAATTATTGGCAAACGAGTCCATAATGACCTGGACTATCTAGTTTATAACCACACATGCAGGGAACCCGCTACCAGTGTTCTTGCCATTTCTATCGCAACAGCCAGTGTACAGCTTTTACATGGCTAGCCATGCACGCTAGACAGCTTCATACTGAAGAAGGGCATCGTACAGGAGGGTTGGGTCCAAAGTAGTTGCAGCAAAGAGCGTATCAGCCCCAGTACGAGTTGTAAGGGAAGGGAGACTCGCACCCATTATTGTAGAGTTTTGTTGAATGGCGCGCAAGCTGGGTAGATCTGGCGCTGGGCGGGGGGGAAGCGGTGACGCCGACCATAAAGGGGAAGACAAGAGCTGCTATAGAGAAACTTCATTTTGTCCGGTGCAAGGATTCGATTGAAGTCTGGGAAAATATCTACATAGGATTCCGGGAAAAACAAATGAAAGCATATGTGACTTGGTTCAAGCGACCCTACGTCGTTGTAGGTGAGCCACACTTCCTTACTTCAGCCGCTAGCTACATGACTTTATCATTTCATGATATATCATGTTTTGTCAGTGGGGACAAAACATAATAAAGAGCTCAGATAAAGTAATGTTTGTACACTTACAGCAGCCCTATCCTAGCCAGAGAAGGCACTGCCAATGTAGGCCAATTCTTCCGCCTCTCTTAGTGCGCTCGCAGTCCGTTCGATTCTTCTTCCCTTCTCGAGAAAATCAAAGAAAAGCAGAAACATCAGGGACCGACGTGTCGCCCAGATTTAATGCCACCTAAACACAATCCAGTAAGCCAAGGTTTTGCCTTCAAGCAACACCACTGAAAGTATCAGACTTGGAAAACTTACCTTCTTGCCCCTTCCGTTCTCCATCTCCTCAAAGGCCTTCAGAATCACAAGCTTCCTCTCCTCGCTCCTACACCGAAACCTCACCGGCATTTTCATCCCCGGGTTTCCAGGCAATGAATCAGCGTAATCAGCAAATTCTAACGGCGTCTTAGCTCCCTCAGTAGGCAAGATTTTGAATGCCCAGAGGATACGCATCATGGTTACGACGGCGGAGCGTTCTGCGACGGTGTATCCGGGACCTTTTCACGCGCAATAGATGTCAGTGGTGAATCTTTCTGTGTCAAGGTAGGATAGGCAGAAGGCGGACGTACAAACGCGACGGCCGGCGCCGAAGGCAAAGTGGTCTCTCTTTGTCGGGTCCTGCGCGTTGATGCTTTCCATCGTCTAGGAAATCGTGTCAGTTCTCGTTTCATCCCGGGCTTCTCATTGATTTACCCACAGTAGTCTCGTCATCCTGAAACCTCTCCGGCCAGAACCGATCAGGATCCTCGTGTCTCGCGGGATCTCGACTGATAGCACTACACCTCAGAGTCAGCGGCAACACTTCATGTCCCAAGACGAAAATATCCGGCCTTACTATGCATTCAGATGGATTCGCGCCCCCTTGGGGAGCCTATATCCCCCAACCTCCACCTCCCGCGAGGTAATGTGAGGATGACCCAGCGCCACCGGCGGTCTCCACCGCCATACTTCTTTGAGGAGCATGCGGACGTATGGAATCCGCGCGTAGTCTTCGTATGTCGGCGGCCTACCGCCAACGACCTTGTCTAGAAAAGATAAGCTGGTTAGCAAATATGCCATGGAGAGAGACCAACGATGATAAAATCGATATTTTCAACATACCAATCTCGGCTTGTGCTCGGGCCTGAGCTTCGGGGAACTGCATCATGGCCTCCACGAAAGACCACGTCGTCATCCGGCTCTGTAATTTTGCGTCAGCTATATGGACGCATTTTGGCAGTGAAGCCAAGAGTCAGGATACAGTGCATCGGTGAAGATTACTCACAGTATCCGCAGAAGCAACAATCAAAGCAGTGCTTAAAATCGCGAGCTCCTCCTTACAAGACATGCCCTTGAGATTTTTATCGGCTAGAGCAGAACCCAAAAAGGTACCTTGGAACGAGGAATCTCCTCTTGCCATTGCCCTTTCGACAGTCTACAAGCGAACCATTAGTCAAAGGTGTTCTCAAAGCATGTCTCAATAGGTATGCTAGGTTTGCTCTCACCTTAACTCGTTTCATCCCCCATGAGAGATCGCGTCTATACCTCGCGCGGCCATGTCTCTCCCAGGGCTTGAGGGAGAGAGGCAAATTTCCCAAAGAAGGGACAAGGTCAATGATGTTGGCGCCAGGGAAGGTATCTGCCGCTCATTGTCAGTCTACCCCAAGGCGTGGCTTTCACAACATTCCTTTGAGATGATGGTCGTACTTATGATTTGATATTCCGAATCTGGATCCATAACCATCAGCGAGTTTTTCAAAGTACCTTGAAAGCCCAGATCTTGACGCACCTTGAAGAAAGTCGATAACCGAGTCATCTGCGTCAGATACCTACAACAAACTCCAGTCAAAACCAGTCCCCGTCAGAATGCAAGGCTCGGGCGATATCTCACATCCATGCCCATGATAACCATTGCGAATGCACTGTACGTATAACGCTCAATGCCTCTCAAGAGCTGAAGCCCCGAAAATCCGCCTGACGGTTCGAGAACGTTATCGCGAAGGAACCTCATTGTCTCGTACTCTAGAAACCTATCTTGCCATCAGACGATTAGATCCATAGAAGATCCAAGAAGCATGAGTAGGGTAACGGAATCGGAAATAAAAATCAGCTTACGGCACAATCTTCCCTGCCTGCTGGGGACTTGTGAGAAGCTGCTGAATGACCTTCCTTTGGTTCTGCAGGTATCAGGAGTTTCAGTCAGCATCGCTCAACCAGAGATGGCAAAATACTTTTACCTTCCATGTTGGATCACTCGCATCCAAGAACAAAGTATTAAATCCATTGTTCAAAATCTCATTTGACATGATCCACACAGGTCGATCCGCCGTCACCGCAGACTTTTTATCAAAAAGCTCCTGGTTCCATTGTTAGAACCCCGGCCTTTTCGCACAAACATCACCCCAAACCAGGCACAGGCCCCTTTAGAGCTTCTACGGTTCGGTCACAAGAGTGACAAGCTCACCTTGACCAAAACATCAGAGTTGATATAATAATCAACAATATACCCTGTCCTCACTCCAAAGATAGCGCCATACTCCCTCGCCCACCCCTCCAACTTCAAATGCCATCGTCGCGCCTTATTCTCCCTAATCAAATCCGTCAAGTGGCCCAGAATCGGCTTCGAGGGTGGTTGAGGCGGTAACGGTAGGCCGGATGTTCGTCTCGTCGTTTTCGTCCAGAGCACTAGAGCTATAGTCGTCGTGAGGATGGCATATATCAGAGAGGCTTTCGGGTTGGAAGTTACAGCGTTCACGATGCGGGATGGAGAAAGGGCGTCCATGGCGTTGGTTGTGATTTCCACGGGGATGGTGCGAATGCTCCAAACTTGTCTAATCTCAAGACAAATCAGCGACATACGCATCATCAGGAAAGAATTCGTCCAAATTTGTATGTATTGCGATGTTTCTCATAACCTTCTAGTTATCCAGACTCCGCGATGGACCGTCACAACAGCATCGGATTTCCCGCCATTTGATGTCAAGGTCGGTGTCGCTAGTTTACAGTTCACCGTCCTAGCGACTTCGCGTTACCGCAGGTTTTAGGATAAAAAGGCTAACCCCCACCGGCATTGCCGCCCGGCCTCCGGGAGTGCGGGGGTGCTAGCTGCCCAAGCGTCCGCCCTCCCGTGGGTAGTAATTGCATATAGACGATTGGTGGTAGGACTGGTATCAGCAGCGCCATATTCCATGTGCCGGCAGGTATTCGTTTGCTTCTAATCCTGGTGGAGCATGTTCGCACTAAGAAGGCGTTCAGACCACTCCGCATCTGCAAGACGATTGAACCGACTGGAAGTCACATAGAAACCATGCTGGAGATGTACGGGGTGTCGGCGCTGATATAGCCGTCTCAACTCGGATATCCCGAAGCTCTGTCCCTTGTCCTTTCAAATTGCAGTGTGCTAGGTGTTCTGAATGGAATTGTTGAAGCCTCTTTCTTTTAACCCACCTGCGACGATGTTTTTCTCTTTGTTAACGTGGCCTTCCCTAGTCCAGGGCATGCGCAGGAGGAATTCAGTCGTAACAAGCGAAAGCTCCCCAAAGACAGTATAGACTAAGCAAACGTCTGTATGCCTGCACACGGTCATTACCTTACATTATCTCACTTTAAAAGTGTTTTTCTTTAACATGGCAGACAAAGGCATGCACGCTCCGGCAGAAGCATCGGCATCAGACTTTGAATGCCTTCACACCCCATTACTGTGAGTCGTCTTCACTTTCATGAGCCGAGATGATCTGGTTCTCGAGATATCTTCAATCTGCTGTTGTATCGTCCCGTTATTGCACACTATCATAAATCGCAAAACTCGTGATTCTATAATTAGTATCAATAGAAATCTCCATGCAGGCTGAGAAAATAAACTCCGCTTCACAACACGCAAATATCTACTCCAAATCCTTTCCTCGAGCCTCATACCTTTCCTATGCTATCCCGTACGGCTTCCCAAGCATAACCATCAAATCATCCTGCCCTCCCCCCCCCCAGCCTCTCTTTATTCCCACTTCTATCCTCATCAATAGGAAAAGGGAAATGCCGCGTCGGCTGCATCTGATACCGTTCTCCCCGTCCCTTCCCATCCCCATTGGGCACGAGCTCAGTGCCCCAGTCCATCGCCCGCATGTCCTTGACTTCCAGCACCCAGGTCCCACGCCAGTTCTCACCTTGGTCGACGACCTGCTCGAGTCGCCAGGGGAATTCGGCTTCGCGGCGAAAGGTCCATCCCTTTTTTGTTGGTGTTGGTGGTTCAGGATCTGGAGATGATTGTGTTTCGAAGTCGCGGTAGCGCGTGAGGGAATCAGCTCTGCTTTCGACTTTGGTGTTGTCTTTGATGTCGACGTCGGTGTCGTGTTCCGGTTCCGCCTTTTTCGGGCCGGTGATGCGGCCAAGTACGGCAAGGAATTGCTTTGCGCGGTCCGTTGTAGAGGTTGTGTATATATATCCCCTTTAAGTATGATCTATTCGTGACTTTGCTGTAGCCAGTCAACTCACAAGGTGGTCAAAAGCAGACACAACAATGGCCAAATCCTGTCACTTCACAAAGGGGGTAGATCGTGAGCGCGGTAGACGCGATCAACATTGAGAAGTGATATTCTATAGCTACCTAAGTCCATGTCGTCCAGTGATCTCCAACTGAGCATGGAGAAGGGGGGGGATACTAGGGGCGATAGTAGTTCTATCTTGTGCTTAAGCGCGGATGTGTTGTGTGCCTACACTTGAAATGATATCTCTTAATCTAGTAAATTTCAGGGTCTAAGCCTGCTATTTCCTAGTGCCCGAGAGAGAAAAAAGAACTTGATAATCTGAATGATGGGGTCTAATTTGTATACAGGATAGATTCGTCTCTGGGTATTTGGAGATATTTAAGTACTCACGGTTTCGAGAGAAAGTCTTCAAGTCTCGGAGGCATGCGGAGGTTGGATACTGGCAGACTCTTGGCGACATGGAAGAAGCAGCGGGCTTTTGTTTGCTCATCTGGCAGCTGTCCCGCAAGGTCCCTAAGAATGTCGCTTAGGGACCTTCATGGAAGATTGAGGGCATCTATGAGGAGTCATTGCCGGAAGTATGTTTGATGAGTCCTACTATACGAGCGCGTCTTGATACTGATATGTGTTATGTTAAAAGCGTGCCACTCTTCCGGACTCGTGGGCTGTATTTGAGGCCATGGAATAAAAGCGATTCAGGTAGGCAGAAGTGTAGAGAGAAGCCTAGTTCTTTGCAATCGAGCTTTGATATGGAGACTCTCCTAGTGAACTCGCACTGATAAAGCATAATGGAACTAGATATAAAATGCATTGGGTGGCGTGTTTGAACCTTGAAGGGTTTCCGCCTCTTAGGGTAGGGCACTCTGCACGCACTACAATATGGGCTAACAAGTCCCTAGCTGTTCATCGGGGAACATTTAAGGGAATATTCGCTTGACTCTGCTACTATTGTCAAGTTTTTATTTTTTCAAAATTCTTGAAAATTCTTGAGAATTAGGGACGCAGCTTGAAACTCGGAACTATTCCGCTAAGGTGCAAGCTGAATGTTATAAACCAAGGATTACTAGTCCAGCTAGAAAATCGTGGGGGTTGTGTCACATCCAGCCCCTGATACTTGCACGCTTTCTTCTAGTCCTCATCCCCTAACCCCAGACTTGCCACACTATGCCCGTTGGACCTAGGCCCTTATGGCGGATAGCAGTCCTTGCCGAGCGCTCGTTCGTATCTGTTTGAACGTGCTTTGACTGCCTGTTTCTAGAAGACTAGGCCGAGGAAGTGAATTTAGAGCAAACTTGACATACAGATCTCAAGTTTGACAGCTGATTTGGTATGCCAAGTTTCCTCGGTATCTAAAATTGACCTTATATGCTAGGATACTAGATTATTGTCTATGTTCGAGTCTGGCTGTCAACCCTGAAGGCTCACATTAACCTCCAGTCCGCTCGTTTGATCGGTTCTCCTATCACGTATAGTTATGCAATCTACCAACAGGCAAACAAATTGGTTGTAATGATACAAAATCATGCTTGACGAAATGAAATGATGAGATTGTGTTTTCTCAAGCTCGTTCCAATCGGAGTTACATGGTGATCCCGAGGAGGTCTCACATGACGGAACTGGCAGGGCGGAACTGACGGCCACTGCATCGTTCCAGCCTTGCCAGCTAGGTCCAGCGCCTGTGCACCCCACCAAGGTCGCTAAGCGTTGTTGTCGATCAGGCTATCTGTCTGATGGCGGATCCGCCAAAGAGACCCTAGCGTTTCTTAGCATCGAAACTTGTGTCCTTATGGAGTCGGGGTTGATCCACTTTGGATGGGCATGGTCATTGAACACGACACCGCGCATGATATCGTAGACGAGGCGATTTCACCTTATCTTAGGAATGATAGTGGAAGGCGGCTTTCCATCTGGTATCACCTCACAGGGATTGGCCAGCGGATTGTTCACAGGCCTCACTTAGGTCTTGTAAGTTCGGCCATCGTGTACTTGACAACTCAGGCCACAAATCGTGATCAGGTCAAATTGGACACACTTTCATGGATAGCACGGGTATTAATGAGCCACTGAAGGAGATACATTCGTGTAACTATTTCACGCAAACAACTGAAAGATACGGCCACTCCTCTGGTCAATCGTCTCATGGTCATAGTGATAGGGTGATACATGTAAAAATCGGTTTGCCACTCAATAAATACTATCCTGTAACACGCTGAATCTTTTCGAGAAATTCCCTTCAGGCAGGGACGCTCATTGCCGCGTTGGCCTCGTAGCCCTTACCTGCGTGGGCAGTAGCAGCCTGAGCCTCACGAAATTCTGCTTCCTTCTCTTGTTGAATCAGATCGCAGCAGCCACAGCAGCAAGCAGTAGCAAGATCGACCAGACAGCTGCCCTCAAGATTATGTTTTTCGCGAAGGTTGGCGCGCTGAAGGGCGAGGGGGATCCAATGAAGACCAAAACAAGTAGATCCCCAGAACATGAGACACTGTAAAGCAAGTCAGCGTTGTAGAGAGATGTGTATATATGGAGATAATAGCAACGGGTGAAGTAGGAATAATAGACCACTGAGCATCAAACACTCCAAGTGTAGAGATGTATCGCTGTGTCAACGTACAGAAGTATTGATAGGTTCATAGCCCTGCAGGCTGCCGTTTTTCCGAAGACGGTAATGGGTCTTGCCAAACGTCACGCAAGGGACGCAGCAAGTTATAGCGCAAAGGTCAATAGGGCTGAAGCAGCTGAAGAAGCCATTATGCCAAGGTTGGGAAGTCTCGGGATGAGACTTGGAGTTGATGTGTTCACTCGGACGGGCGAGAACGTCATTGAAACGGTCCTTCCACTCGTTGAGGTCGTTGTGGTCAATAGGACCATTATTGTGGGTGTTGGCCTGACCCGCCATTTTGGGGATATGTAATGAGTGAATTGAACGTAATTGAGTGACTAGAAGTGGAAGGGAATAAAAAGCAGTGCCGGTTTCTGAGAAACAGTAGACAAGAGATTCAGGGATTGGGTTACTCTTATGATGTTAAAGAGCCGGCCTGCGCTGGTTAAAGCAGATGATCCCCGTTTGAGACAAACCAAGAGTGGGCTGACATCCCTAATCAGCATCCTCAACCTAAATGTGATCGACGTCCTGATAATCACGAACCCAGGAGCTGAAAGCATTTTGATTTGGCAGCCATTCGCAATTTTAGCGCCACCAATTTGCGACTGAGTGGTGGAAGTTGAGCCTAAGCGTGCTGGCGCACGGTCTAGTATCAGCAGCAAGCCTCTAAGGCTGACAACAGCGGAAAAGTTGCGCACTGAACGAAATAACACTAATACGGGGAAATGCAGGACAGGGGCTCGCAGTCCGGTGTGAGTCAGCAGATGAGCATGATGGCATCCGATGAGGTTTTTCGAGGATGCCTACGAGTTCGCTTCGATGGCATCCTCGGCAGCGGCTTTGCTGACATTCGAGCTTAGACCTTGGGGGCAATGAGGATGTGGAACTTGCTACCATGGATATCACAAGAGCAGTTGGCTAAACGGTCGAACTCCCGCGATAGGATGTGAGCAGATGCGGCAGCATTAAAGTTGCACCCGACGCTTTCCTTGGACCCCTCAATGGCAGTGGTGGCTTGAGCAACAAACCTGGTCAAGATGAGAACTGATAATCTGGGGCAATTAGAGACATGATGGGCAGGGTACTCAGCCAGCACGCCATCGAGATTGTTCTTGACGTCTGCGGACGTTGAGGACAATAAGTACGGATTGATGGCGAGAGGGTTAACGTTGACGGTTCAGGAAACATCGAGGAGAGCGTTCCTCGCCTCGAGGTCCAGTTTTTGCTGCTCGAAAGTGTCTCGAACTTTCTTCTGTCAACACAGGATCGTATGAAGAGGAGCAGAATACGCACCACTCTTTCAAAGGTTGAGAGGAAGCTTCTCGGCGGGAGGAAGAGACATTATACCAGTGATTGCACGTAGTTAAGGGACTTCAAAGGCTGGATTGAGCAAAGTCGGTTTGGATGAGAGCGACAATCCGCCAGAAAATGAGAAGTCCAAGAGCAAACATTGCAGAACATACTGCGAAGGATTCAGAGGTGATCCAAGCAAGTACAATTTCTGAAGCATGTGGGGTAGTAGTAGCGGAGGGCCGAGTTGTGCTGTCAGCGCACTCCAAATATATTGTAATCGAGCACTTGATTTAACCTTGCCAAGGTAAGTACATGAAGCTCCCGCGCTCCCTCAGCTGGCTTTCACGGCTCATATGCGGGCCAACTTTAGAAGATCATCTGTCCAACCAAACCAGCAAGATTATCATGCCGTCAAAGGCGAAAAACCCGTTGAAGAGACGAATCCTATGATAAGCTGCGGACTCAGCCTAGGACGGCACGCTCATCCACACTCTCTAGTATCGTAGGCTGCAAGTGACCTTCAACATCATGCAACTCAAGTGGTCAGCTCAGCGCTGCTTGAGTACTAGCAAGAACCAGTAGTTCCATGCAGGGAAGCGAGCAGCCGCCACCAGTAGAGTACCTGCACCTCCGCCTGGCACGGTGTTAAGCTTTCCAGCTGGCCTTTTTGCTTTGCATTTAGCACGAAGTAGCCAAGGCAGAGACGGACAGCCAAATTGCCGGTCACCCTTGCCCACAACTTGAAGTCGTGATTAAATTTCGACTCTTCCTTGATTGCCGTTCAAGGTCGACTTCACCAAGTACATTGGACTGCAATGACTTGCAATACTTGAGATTATTCTAAAAGTAACCTTCACAATCTCAGTCCTATACAAACTTATCATAGATTAACCCGACTATCGTTGAGGTGAATGTAGGTGAAGAAGCGATATGTCTCAACCCAAGGTAGCCATAACCATCGAGATGCGGAATGTGGTGCAGATTGACGTATTTCGATAGCTTGTGTGCGCCGAGATAGATTGCCAAAATTAGGTACGTGAACAAGAGAAGCTATCACGCGATTTGCCAAAAATTACGATCACTTTACAAGCAACGCCAGGATATTACCATGTTTTGTACCAGTCTCCAGCACGCACCATATGCTCAGCACGACGCGGTTTACAGGGGAATGTCCCGGTATTTTTATTCATCAAGAATCTTTGGTACGGTTAGGCATCTTGGCACAGAAAATAGTCATAGGGATCGTCGCCTGCCAAAGCCATCGTTGCAAGATCTTCAAGGTATGCCCGAAACCCTAAATGCAACTTGACCTTTGGCGACCAATGATAGAATTGCATAACAGAGAACCGGAGCTCTCTCATTGCCTCCATACTACCATGCGTTTCCAAGACGTACTGGTCGACCTGTTTCTTCTCATCCTGTGTGAGCGTAGGATAGGTATCATCGAATTGCCGAAGAAGAAGCTGCAGCTCCGCTGGACCAAACATCCAGAGACTCCCTTCGTCGCCAGCCGGGCCTAGGTCGACACCTACTCCGCTGTCCCAGTTGAACTTCGTCCAAATGTCTTTGGATGGTGCATGCAAAAGCGGATTCGCTCCGAATAGGTGAAAGTCCACGTGTTCCTCCCTAATAACTCGAGCCGCATTGTAAAGAATGCCACTCAGGTCACCTGCCGAGTCCTCTTGCTCCGGTCCTTGAAGCTTGAATCCGTCGCTGACTGTAAGGAACGTCACGTAGTCTGGGTCTAGGACGCAGTGACCATTTTCGTCAATTACCCGCCTTTGGAGCGCTTTTATGTCCTCTGAAGATGCGGGAGGACAGATATACATTGCTCCAGTCAGGCTTTCCGTCGAAGAGAGCAGAGCCTCGTTCAAAAGTCCGGTGAGCTCCGCTATAGTCTTGCTCGGTAGATTTTGAGCTTGACCTCGTCTATGGGGGCCAGGGTTGGCCATTGCCAGAAGTAGTAAAAGTGATGAAGATGATGATCTGGAAGCCTCTGCCGTGTTCCCTTGCGGTTTGCGCTCTTAGCCTCTTAACGACAATGGAGTTAGCGTAGGGTTGTCAGCAAGAGACTCATAGGGTTTGGTGGGTCTTGAACTGATACTTGAGTACCATTATAAGTAGGCCACACTAGTTTCCGTTATCAGCCGATTGATGCAGCCCGGCGCTACATACCTTATCCTGAAGCGGGCAAGGAGGCGAACGCTCTCAAATGTATAGCGCATGGCGCACAGAAGAAGGAGATTGACAAGGCGCACACGCACGGAGAATAGAGAAGGAACCGGTGATAGGCGTAAGGGATGTAATAAAAGGAACTAGGTCGGACGAAGAACGATAAAGGAGGCAAGAAGGAAAGCAGACTAGGTACTGGCGATAGGTTTTGGGAGAAGCTTGTAGCCACTATCTCAATCAACAATACCAACGATGCCTTGCTATAGCCTCCCCTTTTACTACTATTCTATTCTTTGTTTTCTTCTTCGGCCCTTTCACTATTATCTAAGTTAGGGGAAATCACTGTCCCGCCGTTTATAGAACGTAGTGCACGAGCTGACGAAGGACGAGGCGTGCAGTGGGCCGTACCCAAACGGGTTGGATACGTCCAGTTTTTAAGACACTGCTGCCAAAAAATGCCAGTGCGAATGTTTCTAACTGATTGTTCGTTCTGGAAATTGCTAGTAAGGCGAATTATAAGGCTTATAAACAATATTAATGAGTGCGCTGGCGTCCGTTTCGCTGATCTTGTACTCTTCATCCAAGTGGTGATTAGCTACTGGCCTTGTTGGTTACTGAGACTTTAGGGTTAAGTTACTGAGCTGTATGTGATAGCTTTGGAGCTTTATCTCCTCACGACTCATCTGCTGCAAATGCGCTTCCCCTATCGAGTTCTGCGCCGCCGCTTCTCTGGATGTACGAACCTAAGCTCAGACGAAGTATGTTTTTTTTCACTTCTATTTTTCTTTCCCCTAAACTCTGTCTGTATCGACATTGCTCTGGATACGGAGCTAGACTTAATCGTGGTTCGATTCGGGTCGTGCGCTTGAGATAATAACTTTGTATCAAAATTGTTATATTCAGTTGAATAAGTACCTGCAGTATACTATTTATATAATGTTGTTGAAAACTCCACTATATTGAAGAATTATTTTTTTCAAAATTTAATTCTATTCAAGTCGACTTTTTACTCTCTCCAGGATTACCAAGGTACTAAAGAGCCCGTTTATATAATACCAGGATATAAGAAAGATCCTCGTAGATAGACGGAAAGTCGGTACTAACATCGCCGGCTCAACCCGGATATCCCGAAGCGCTGTCCCTCATCTGATGTTTAATGGTAGTACATCTCAAGTAGTAAGTTTACAACTGCCACTTTCTATCCCTGGGCGTGGCACGTGTCTGGTGGTGATAGTCCTAGTGCTTCTGCCCCTGCTTTTCTAGGCAATTCGGCGGAAAGCAGTGCGAGTCAGTCTTTGCCATGATTAGAGTATAGAAAGTCTTCCAGTCGAGGATGTGAGGCGATGTGAGGTAAGCTTGGGAGATGGGAAGCCCCTTGTCGGCCGAAAGATGTGGTGTACGGAGTTTATTCGACCGAATCGGACGGCCGTTGCTGACATCCTCCGTCAAGATAGCATGCAAGTCGGAGGAACTAGTGCTATGGACCAGCCGCCGGTTCAAAGGTGGTCAGTCAAATATTAGTGTACGATTGCTGAACGTGCCGGCATTGTCGGAGAACGGAGGTCAGCAGGATCCCGCTGACATATCCGGGCGGGTGTCGGAGGGGCCGAGGAATCTTACCCTCTGGATGGCCCCAACGAGCCCACTATCGGATTTGGTCTTTATCGCCGATCTGGGAGTCAATCCTGAGGCTTGGCTCCATGGTCTACCTTAGTGCCTAGCTCTCGCAAGCAGCTCCTTTACTGATTATCATCCTTCAATACGCCGCACTCGCAATGTGTTGCAGCATTTATGATGCCGTTCTAGCGGCCAAAGTTGCAGCCGTAACG